GGGGGGGGGGGGGGTGTTCTTGTGTATCCCAACGCAGGTCGCCCGCACAGAAGTTGTTCCTAAGTGTACTTCGCCCGGCGTTTGAGCCGAGATACATGGCGGTGTTTTACCTGGTTTGTATTCCGAGGGTTGCCAAGAGGCTAAAAGAATTCCAGGTCGGGGATAAGATGGGGGGGCAACAGGGTGTTGGGGAGTTGGCAGACAAGACTGGGAAGTGTATTTTTTATGCGTCCGGTCCGGAAGATGTTCCAGGTATGGACGTGGCCAATTGTGACGTTTGTTCAGTCTTGGTCGCGTTTTTTTTTTTTTGCGTACGGTTGTTTTTTGTGTATGGATGGGTAGGCGGGGAACGGGGTGGGGCGTTGCGGGAAACGATAAAATATCTGTTGGCTGTATCCACCCGACCGGGATGTTAACGCCGGCCGGATAGGGCGGGTGCTGTTGCTACTTTTTGATTCATGTCATTCAGGCTCATGGATATATCTTGATGCCCGTAACCGACGGTTTGTAAATGTACCATTAGTGTACGTCCTACCGTATGTTTTTCGTCCTCAATACAGGGTCGCATGTAGTACGCACGGTATGTTCACTTTTTGTTTGTAGGACAGGGGGGGGGGGGGGGGGGGTTACGCCGGCTGTTAGACACGTGTGCCAACTTGTACAATGCGGATGTATTGCAGTAAATGTTAACTTCACGGTAGTACCGTATGCCTTTACCGCCTCTTGCCATGTGGCACCGCAGTGTAGATAAGGTCTTGTGTCTTTTTTATTTTATTTTTATTTTTTTCGGGACTCTTGGTTGCCCGATCCTGCGGGGAATTTGTTTGCATTCTTCCACATTTATTGATATCTTAACGTTTACTTCTTACTTCGTATTTCTTAGATGGAGATATCATGTTCCTTCAGAGGGCGGGAGGGTGACAGATAGTCTGAGCATAGTCTGAGCATGTGTAGGTTGGGGAGACGTCGTGGTCGAGGAGACGGTGCTGGGAAAATCTTGCAAGGATCGATAACAATCCATCAGTGTCTTCGCGATTGGCCCCAAAGCAAAGGAATGCATGAGCATGCCAACAATAATTCACACCGCTCAAAGAAAACTCCACAATACAACGAAGCGTTGTTTGGGGGAGGCCGCAAGGTCAAACCTGAAGGGGTTTGTCTGGTGGAAAAAAAGCGTTGGGAAACCTTGACTCTGGTTCCGGAGACACCCAACGCGTGTACCACGTGCCTATAGATCTGTATATCGATGAACGCTATTCTGATACATTTCATGAATTAGCATTCGCGTGTTAAAATCAAGGCAAGAGGCCGAGAAAGAGACGACGGACACATTAGGGCGGTTTCTCAGCGTCGGTTTATTATCACTTTTATTATCACTACGGCGCCACACATCAACCCAAAATCGGCGATTTATCTGCCCCCACTCAAAAGCAAATAGAGAATCTCGAGGACGCCACTGCGTGAAGAAGTCACCTGGTTTGACAAAAGACGCAAAAAACTTCCCCGCTCGTGCGTAAAATCCATTAACGGGGGCGGGGGGGAAAACGAAACGTTGAGTCCCCAAGATGCTCGTAGAAAGTTCTCCCCAAACGCTCAGCCGCCATGAAATCACCCTAGAAATGGGCTTACAGAATCCTCCCACTCCGCAATATGTGCGACAAAACATACAAGAGAGATCGAATGTCCCGAAAACCCTTGCACACACTTTTCCTCAACACCCTTGGAAACCACCCTAGCTAAACAAACGGCTGACCGATGAAAGATAAATGTTTGGTGCAAGTGCATGTCACCCCGCTTCTTCTGGACGTCGGTCAAGCATTTTTTTCGCCTCTCGGCATGGTTTTTGTTGGACATGCCAGCCTGGGTCACTCCTACAGACGGAATATCCCACAGTACAGTGTTGGCGCTGGACGCTGACGACATGGAAGGACAGGCATGGGAAAGACGTGATTGAGAGGAAGCACGAGCGCACACAACAGTGTGGTGTGGACTTGCTTGTTTTTGCCATGTCGCGACAAGTGTTCAGCCGTGCCTTTGCCTCGACAATTGTGACTCCGAATGTTGTGCACACCATACGAATCAATCGCTGCAATATCCACAGATAGATTGGACTGTTTTTGAGGGAATATTCTGGTTCGTTTGACGGCGCTAAGATTCGGGCTCACGACTGCAGGTTGCGAGGTTTTGACCACTGGGGCGACAGCGTGGGTTTGTGTGCACACATCAGATGCATCAAATCGAAGGCTACAGATCGGTCGGCATCGCCATCGAGTTCTTGCACCTCTTTCCATTCAAAAACTTGACCGCCACCGTAGTCATAATGAATCTACCCTATGCACTTATCTAGGGTCGTCGACAACACAAATAACCGACCCCCATACGCGGTGCACCGCAACCCATAGAACGACAAAACCAACGCAAGCGGGATGCATGCACGACCTCAACACCGTACTTGGTCCTAATGCCATGTGAAACACGATTTCAGAGAGTCATTCAGAGACACCACCTCCCCCATCATGTAGGTTTACCCGAGTACATCTATCTCCCTGGTGGAGCACATCGTACCTGCCGGGATTTCCACACCACACACCAACTGCGCGCAACCTGAAAGTGAGGAACGCATACCCATGCATGCGTGCACACTGTGTGAGTCACGGCGCCCCGTTTAACTTGGTAGACCCCTTCCTATGAAACACGCAGAGGTTTGACGGACTGAACCCAACGGCCCTCAGCGTCAGCATTAGAAGCAGCGTTGCACCGTCGTATCTTGCACGTTTTTCAAATCACAAGGTTGCACGCAAGAAGGCAACGCACTGCTCCCGTGTACCCTCTGGGTGCTCCAGCTGCCAGGAAGCCTGCGCGCAAGGGCCGGTCCAAGTGGGGGAACGGTGGGCCGTCCGTCAGGTGCACAACTAAGGTACCACTCCTAAATGAGGCTCCCTTTCTCAAACTATCACGGCTACACCACGAGCGAGCACAGGGAAAATGTTGAGGCTACAAAACAAAAAACAAGCACTTCTTGCGTAAAATACATTTGTAGAGCTAGCGAATAAAAATTGAGCCATGTGCAACCGAACATCCAGAGCGAACTAGTTCGAAGAATGTAACGCGGAGGATGATCTTCCTACTCTGCGAATAAGTTTCGGGGCTAAAACACACCCCTGTTGGCCAGGTGGGGGACGGTCGAAGTACGCTAGTGTTGTATTTCGAAGCAGTACGGTCAAGGGATGAACGGCGTGGCCTGCTACAGAAATAGATACACCAAACCGTGGGGTACTCTGGGACACAGGAACAAGTCACGCTTAACAACCTGTTTGGCCATTAGTTTGCCGATTTCGGGTCCCTTTGGCAGTTGCAGCTCGGCCATCAACTCATTGCCCTGCAAGTCGCGCGTGGATCAATTGCATCAGAGGCACAGAGGCGGCCAGGGGCATGTACAATAGTGAAGGCTGAGCGAATGAAATCAGTTGCTACAGAATTGACTACGCTTCCTGCGCCACCCCGTACTCAACACGCTCCCTCCTACGTGGTGGACGTAACTGGGTTGACACCATCGACAAATTACAAATTACGAGCACGGCATACAAAATGGCTGGTTTACAAGTACTGTTAGTGGACCTAGTGCACGGAAAAGGGCAAGGGTTGACCGTGAGTCACGCAAGCACCAAGAATAAAAGCGTTGATCAAAACCTGCACGCACGATATGTTCTACAGCGAAATTTCCCACAGGGTCGATACGGCTGCGGCGGGGAGAAAGAATACGATGGGAATGACAAAACGACTTGTCATGTCAGAGGATTGAAACCTCAACTCACACGAGCCAGAGGCGCCATGTCCCAGGCCCTCTCCAGGCCCATGCTCGCCGCAGCTTTCCGTAACCCAGCGTACTTGTAAATCACGGCTCGCTCCTTGCCCCCCTCCCGAAAAGGTTCATCTTCTTCGCCGCCCGCCGCCGGTGGTGGTCCGCTTCCTACCGAGCTGGTGACGGCGGTGGCTTCAACAGTTTGCTCTCGGTGGGCAGCAGGGCATGCAGGTATTGTGCCTGTGGTTGTCGTTGTCATTGTTGTTGTTGGTGGCGGCGATGGAGACGGTGGCGCCTGCTGTCGAGGCTCGCACATTTCCACGGCGCAGCACAGGTCCAAGCACGTCGGCCACAGCTCTTTCGCCTGGGCAGTTCACGAAAGAGGATCTTTTTTGGCAAGTCACCGGCAGCCGGCACCAACACGTCTTGTCGACGACGCTTCGCAGGACCCACCTAGGGGCTCAAAGTAAAACCACCGTGACCAGCAGCAAGAGGCCGACATCTAGACTGACAGCACACCAACATCCCTTCGTTCGGGCATACGTTCGACTTGGCACAGGGGGAGGAATACTCCCCAATTGAGGAAGTGGGGGTCTTTCGTGTCATGTACATCTATAGGCACGTGGGGGAAGCGGGACCGCATGAAATATGGGCGAAAAAACAAAAATCACATGGACCGCGACGCTGGTTCAGGGTGGCTTCTCGTAACTCGAGACATGCCCACGGTGTGCTCGGGGGGAGGGGATCAGGCAGCGCCACACTGACATTGATGAACTACGATACCTGTAGGTGCTGCGGTAGCACAGCACAGCACGGCACAACCAACGTGGAGGGCGCGGCGTCACTTTGTCAAGAGACCGCCAGCCAACGATCTTACACAAGACGATCGCGCGCATCCACACGGCACGAGGGGAACACGCATTCAGTTTGCCATCACCTGTCTCACGGCGAGCCCAACCGAAAGTCTCGAAAACGTTGCTCTCTCTTCCCGGTCTGTCCCCTCTACCTCCGTCTTCCTTGCTGTGCTAGTACCGGGCGAGGTAGCTGTAGCCACGTAAGCATCCGCCAGCGAGCGGAAAGTCTTGAGGAGCCCTAGAATATCTTCCACGTTCTTCGCTTCCTTGGACTTGAGCTTCTCGATAGGGTTGTCAGGACAGGGAGGCGCAGGGAACGCGGAGGGATGGAAGAGGGGACTCTGCCATTGGTGCGAATTGAAAGAAGGGGCTCACCAGGGATTTTGACGGCTGACTAGCGACTTGTCCATGGTGTGATCGTAGCTACTCAAGTACGACGAGGTACTGAAGTGGCGTGCTGCTGCATTGGGATGTGGTCGAAAGCCGAACTGACGCTGACAAACCCAGGCATGGAGTCCTGAGCCAATACTGTAAGTCTAAGGTCTGGCAACTTCCGCTGGAAGCACAGCAGCAAAACAGCACCTTGAGGGAGTCAGCGACGACGGAATAGGCTGCGGAAACAAGCTTTCCCTTCTTGGCCTTGTGTTTCATCCCCGCCAGCGGCAGCAGCGCGGCGCACAGGAAGAGCTCTCGCACGAGGGTCGTCGGTGCCTCCTTCCTTCCATCACTAGAACCCGGCTTACCCCGCATGCTCACCCGACCCTCCCCCCCCCCCCCCCC